GATTCCAAACGAGTGAGATAAGTGACGTCAAAGCGCGATCGACACGTTAAAGTAACTTTTGCGTACTAAAAACTAAAACGCGCGTATCTTATTCGTTTGAGGTCGAAATAACGAGCCGTTTGGGACAGCGTGATCGTATCGACAAGGACAACATTTTAGAAACAACAAAATACTTGGACTTCAAATGCAAACGGTAATGAAAAATTAAACAAGCGCTCAATTTAGTAGCATAATACAAGTAAATGCAAATTAAGTTGATGGTTGTCCTGGGCAACGCCTCTTGTCGTGACCAGGTTGTCTGCACTTAGAGCATCGCTTCGGTCCCCTTCTCGTCCGTTCAACTTGATCCATCTCATTGTGTATCCTTTCAACTCTAGGACGGCCTTTGGTGCGTTTTAGGTGCAACGGTGGGATAATCAACTTTCCAGCGTATATAGGCCAATACGCTTCATCTGGCATGGGGCTCAGAGCTGCATTATATTAGTTCCGTATCGCTTGTTCAGTGTAGTAAGGACTCACCAGGCTGTTTCTGTTCATGGTTATTGACTTAGCAACCGCCATTGCATGTGAACAGGGTATCCTTTCGTTCTGATACTTTTGACAAGCACACTCCCCTAATTCGTAGTGCAATTTAACCGTTTGACGATTGTGACCACGTCTCCCTCCACCCCATATACCTGTTTCGACAGCGAATATTCCTTCACTGCGGTTAAAAAGAACAACCTTATGCTTACTTGATTTTTCATCGTTCTTCTGCATTTGAGCGAATACGTCATGTGCTATTGAATGACCTTGCAACTCCCTCCCTATAGCTTGCTGTAGCCGAGCAACTCGCCGCTCGTTGACCTTCCAATAAGACATTTCCACGATGACAGAAATAGGCATCGCTCGAAGACCCTTGTACACATTATTTATACTTTCTCCATGGTTGGTAGTTGCAATGCCCCATCTGGCCCCGTTGTCCATATGGAACGTCCACATGGGCAACTCTTGACCTTCAGCCCATACAGCTCCAGCTCGGTGGGTCTGACGGATCGTTTTCATCTTCTCCTCGTACTTTTTTGGTTGATGTGCAACCGCTAAAAGGTGAACAAAAGACTAACTGGTCAATACATGATGAATAACATCAGCTTATCAGCTTAATAAACACAAACTTAAATCGCATAAGAAAAACATTAGTACCTGCATTCCAAAGTAGATTTTTTATGTCTTTCTTCTTCCCAAATTTGTGTTGGAAATTGGCGAGCCAGTGTCGAATACACCATCTCCATCTCCACCCCCACTCGTCGGGAAAACCACAAACAGCATTCCTTATCCCCGCATGTCGATCGGATATAATCGTAATATCTTCCCGCTGTGTCATGTGTTCGTGCAGTTGGTCAAAGAACCAAGCCCAACTTAAGCTGTTCTCCCCTTCCACTAATGCAAATGCAAGCGGGAAAATCCGCCTGTTTCCATCAACGCCAGTGGCAATTAGAAGACATCCTTTGTACTTCCCAGTAAGAAAAGTTCCGTCAACCTGAATAAAAATTTAGGATATAATTAGTATGAAATATACTAAACAACAAATAATACAACATTTAAAACCGGAACTAGTTAGTAAAATACCTGAATAACCGGTATGCAGAACCCAAAACCGTCAATACATGGTTTAAAAGCCCAAAAAAGACGATGGAACATCAGCTTATCTTGTACTCGAACTTGATCCTCAGTGTATACATTGTTGTATACTGGGACGAAAACAGTCCCAGGATTGGACTCCTCCATTGCTCCCATAAGTCTAGGGAGTAAAGCATACGAATCCTCCCAATCACCATACACCTCAGCCATGGCTTTCTGCTTACCATGCCATGCTTTTTTGTACCTTATCGTGTAAGAATGTCGATCCTTCACCTCTGCCATGATAGCTTTCACCTTGATATCTGGTTGTGCTTCTATAAGGTGCTTAATAGTTCTCCCAACCTTCTTTGCTTTTAGTTGCCTGTGATCTTGGGAAAGTATAGAAGAGGAGCATGTGTGGAACGTCTCAGCTTTTCGAATCACCCAAGCACCCTTTCTCTTCATATTTGCAGCCCGCAGTTACCACGTACAACCCTCTGCATCATGCTTGCATATGACATGTAGTTGTTTACTGTCAGAATATTTTACCTTCCACTCGAAATTGCGCCTCAACGCCTCTTCTGTAAAAGCATCCTGCACAACGTCTTTCGATGGGAACGCCATACCCACCTCCAAATTGGCCGTCGGATTGTACACTGGCATAGGGACAAATTCGGGGGGATCATTCTGACTAAGTAAAAATTGAGTTGGAACCTGTGTGTAATATGGCGTGGGTGCCTCACGAAATGCCGCCTCATCCTCGTTATCATCAGTATCTTCCTCCTCCTCGCTCACTGATCTCAAATCTTCCTCAGTATCCTCGTCGCTCGACTCGAATGGATAGCTCGGGCTAGAAGGATCAACATGACCACGATCACCAACATCGTCCTCTCCTCATGTGAAGTACGCCCTGATCGAATGGTATTCTCGATTCCATACCACTCTGGCCCCCAAGCAGGCCATTGAACACCATCGGCCTCAACAAATGGGGCTGGTTTAGGAGGTTGCGAGTATTTGTCCCATCCTGCACTACTCGATCCACCGTAGTTGATTGAACCACCACCCTCCCCGTAACCTCCTGTATAACCACCGCCTTGGTAGTTGCTCGAACTACCACCCCATTCGTACCCTCCTGCAAAACCATCATCATAAGAATACTGGTGAGAATGAGATTCACCGACCGCCTCGGTCTCAACATACACCTCTGCAAGCCGGACTTGGTTATCGCTTAGGAACTGTAACATCATCGTAACCGTGTCATCATCGTTTATGACAACTTCTTGGAACACGACCCCGCCAGCACTCATGTCTGGATACCGGTAAGTAATTTTGCCAAGTCTCGTCTGTCCGCTCGTACAAACCCTTTCTGCACAAAGATCACAGAGTTCTTGAAAATTGAATCGGGAATCAATTTTCAGCATAATGGATTCGCCGTCCTCATAATCAATGCCTATGTCAGAGTTTGTCACCCTTCCATTCCACCGAATAGTAAGATGAAACTTCTTGAATTTACCCATATCTACAAATCGAGAATAAGTATCTATTAGCTTAAAGACAGTAAAATTAACCAAAATCATATTGTACAACTAATAGTATCCATCTCATAACTAACGAACATAAATTCAACTAACTAACAACAACATAATACGAAAATTTAATCATACTATAACTACTAAAAACATAATTAGACTATAATACGAAAAGTCTCAACATACCGAAAAATGTCTGTTCTGTGTATTATGCTCGATTTTTGTTGCTGAAATTTGAAGAAGGGGGGAGTGGTTATGTTTTTACTTCTGCTGGAGGGTTGGTATTTATAGGAAAATCTGCCTATTATTCACCGTTTTTGTCAAAAACGGTGAACACCATCACCGCGTTTGTCTCAAACGGTGAATAATAGGTAGGTGTGACCTAATTTTGACCTAATAGGGGTGGGAAACGTGAGAATACATCACCGCGTTAACCAAAAACGGTGAATGTATTCACCGTTGTCAACTAAAACGGTGATGTATTCACCGTCCTCTCCAAACGCGGTGAATACATCACCGTTTTAGATAAAGGCGGTGAATACGTCACCGTTTTTGTTTTAAACGGTGAAATATTCACCGTCTTTGACAAACGCGGTGATTACCTTCACTGCGTTTGTCAAACACGGTGAATGCCAAACATGTGTACTTTAGGAAAATTTTTTATAACTTATGTATTTTGGGAATTTTTTTTAAGAACGTGTGTACAGTGAGATTTTTTCCTGTTTGTTTGACTATCTTTTGCATCTGGATTGGGGTTAGCATCACTGGGCCTACTTTGAGACTGTAATATGCCCGATTCTGAGCCACAATTGAACTGGTCCAGGCCGAAAATGGAGCTACAATTTGTCATAGGGATGATGCATCCACAGGCCCACAACTACTAAGGCTTCAAGTTAACACCGGCCATTCACCAATGAAAATCTCCTGTAGGAATCTAAACTAATAAACAATTTTTGAAGAGTATGAAAAGGTGGAACCACAATTAAATCTTGCATTCCTTCGCTCTTGTTTAAAAATTCTGTCACATGCCATAACAATCACTTTCAACAGCCAGGGGAAGCAGCTAATATCCTCGAAAATCCATCACTATTGTCTCGATTTTAAACCCACACCCACTTGCATTTGTGGTTCTTCTGCTTTTCTCCGTCCCTTTTCCCCGGTTCCGCCTTCTCAACGCTAACAAAGCTGTAGATCAGATATCCTTTTAATAGCATTTCCCCATCAATCTATCAATACTAACAATCAAAACCCAAAGAAAGGGTTCTTGTGGGCTGAAAAGGATTACTCGGCCCCAAAGTTGGGCTTCTCCCAAACTTCAGCTTGGGCAATATAAGCCCATAACTGAGTAAGTAAATACTAATTCGCCACTGTATCAATCTGAATTGGCTTATGCTTTATACGAGAACAATGAACAGGCTGAACGAGAGAAGACAACCAAATTGGAGTCTCTCCCACTTTTCTTTTGTCATTTTCACTTCATTTCTTTTACCCAAGATCATAATTAACAGTTCGATTTTTGTTACTACCTTTCTCTCATATTCCAGAGATTCATCTTCCTCTAGATGCAAGCAAATGAACAAAAAAGCCCTTCGAATTACCCCGTTTCTCTTTTTTTTTTCCCCCTTTTCTTTTTACCTCTACTGTACACTACCAAAATTATTACTTCCCCTTCCTGTATAGAACAACCGATTAATAAAACGCGACTAAAAACGACGACGATCTTCTAATTCATCTCCTTCCAAATTTCACCTCACTCATTGTTTACTCTCATCCCCAACCCCAATCAATCCTCCATTTGACGAGGACGACCTCTGCATCTTAATCGCTAGTAATGTCCAATTGCTCCATCCATGGCTTCTTCTTCTTCCACCCTCAATCGATCCTGCTAATCCCCATTCGCTTAACCACAGCGTTCCTTATGGCATCCGCCTGGAAACACATCCCCTTCTGCTCAACCCCAGACATGTAACTCCTCACTTCCTTCCTCACCATCTCCTGCATCACCGCCAGAAACTCCGGATTGAAGAACTGCTTCTCATAACCCATCTCCCCGTTCCCTTCAACAACCGGACCCACCTCCTGCTGCTGCACCGGCGGAGCAGGTGCGAGCGGCGGCAGTGCGACGACGGGAGATTGCGGACCGTGTGTTGGGCTACCAGTTCCATGACCCGACCCGGATCCGGGAACTTGGTTCGGGGTTTCGGTCGGGTCCGATCCGGGCAGAGAAAGGCAGAGCGAGGTCGGCGGATCCCAAGAGGTCACATCCAGTGAGAGAGACGGAGGGATCAACGACGCCGTTCTTGCGAGAGGGCGGTAGACAGGGGAGGTAGAAGCATTGGAGTCGCTGAGCTCGGATCCGGAGGGGCTGCTCGGGTTCAAGTACAGACCCGAGAAATTGGCGGTCCCGCCGGCGCCGAGGCTGGCCGATCTCTTGAGCGGCTGCTGCTCGTCGTCGGGGGAGATGGAATCGTCGGTCGAGATCGAGCACGATTTCCTCTTGAGGGTGGAGTTCCAGTGGTTCTTGATCGCGTTATCGGTGCGGCCGTTGAGGAGGCGGGCGATTGTGGCCCACTTGTTGCCGAACCGCGCGTGGGCCTTGATGATGGTGTCGTCCTCCTCGGGGCTGAACGGCCGGTGCTCAACTTCGGGGGAAAGCTGGTTGCACCACCGCAGCCGGCACGATTTCCCCGACCTTCCGGGGATCGATTTGCTGATGAGTGACCAGTTCCTCGGGCCGTAGCTCTGGACCAGCCGCTGCAGGGACTCGTCTTCCTCGGGGCTCCATGGGCCCTTGATCCGCTCGGCTTCTCTTCTCGCCGCCATCGATTCGAGTACAGAAAAAGGAATTGACTAGTGAAGAAGGAAGAAGGAGCGAGACGCGAAGGAATTTACAGATAAAGGACGCCGGAAGAGGCGGTGGCGGTTGTGATGGCGGTGGTGGAGGCGGCGCCTCACCTTTTTTTTTTTTGGACTGTGTGGGAGAGGAGAAGGGAGAAGGATATTTATATGGTTAGTGGGTAGGGATAAGGATGACCGGTTGGAGCCGGTTAGGTTTACCGGTGGTAGCCGTTTCGGGGGAAAGGCAGTTACTAGTAAACAGCTGTCAAATGAACACGCGTCGACTTTCCGCGCATTCAAGGGTTACACGTATAAACGCTCCCTCTCATCAGCCAGAAAAACAAACAAACAAACATGTATTCCGTAACGGGCTTTTTTTTCATTATTAATAATTATTACTATTCTCTTTTTTTTTCCCCGCAGCGGTTACTCTGCGAGAATACGGCTCCTCCAGTTCACACTCGCTTCAGCCCCGCAACTGTAAAAAAAAAAAATTACCTTTGACCGAGACAGCCTGGATAGCATTTACGTTGATATACTTTTTTGCTTTTTTATTTATTTTGGGCTTGGGGATGGGAAGGAGGAGAAAAGGACGCACGGAGGCTTGCGCGGTAGACGACAAAAGTATGGCAGAAAAGAAAAGAGAATCGGGGGTAGTAGTGGAATTTTATTTTGTTCTGGTAGTCGCCAGGCTGTCAAACGTTACCCCACTCTCACTTAACTTGAAACCACCAGTCAGCCCACCACCTCTTTATCTCTCTCCTTTTCTAACGGCCTTACCGTACCGGTAACTTTAACTCCCACCACCATCACCGCCGATGCCGCCACCTCCACGTCTCTAAACTGCCAGACTAACTCCGTCAGATTTTTCTCTCCGCGACGAACCCAAACTTTTGCCCTCCGTTTCGCCAAGGCTGGACTTGAGATATTTAGCGGGCGTTAAATGTCCAGGGTTGAAATATTTGGGCTGGGCCCAAGAAGTCAATAGGCACCTCAGTTTATTCAACGCGGAGGAGTCAGGACACACGAAAGCTATTTTCTTCACCAAACACGTGAGTATGGTTTTTTTTTTATCGTAGACATTAAACATCCAAGGACCAAGAATGTAACACGTGAGTATGATTTATTTAGCATACTAAAATATGACTAATTTGAGTAAACACTTAGATGAAAATTAAACATAGACAGTGGGTGGGAGAAATCGTGTAGAGAACTTGACCTATGCAAATTCAAATAGCAATGAGTATACTGTACGTATGTACACCAACTCTAGTATGAGCCCTACGGTAAAATTATTGACCGATATGGTTTGGACTTTTGAGTGAAATAATCACCCACTATAATAAAAATGATCAGTCACTGATAAACTGTAAAGACTAGGACCAGCTTGACATGGAAGAGGGAGAATTGAGAAGCGATCGAGAAGAATTGAGAAGAGAGGGAGAATATTGGAGAAGAAAGAAGTCGAGACAGTCACGGTTAATAAAAGAGAAGAAGACAAGAGAAGGACAGTTGGGAACTGGATTATGTTATTTCTCAATGCCCCTATTACAATTGACTAGTACAGCTTTTATAGACTAATGACAATTATAGCAAGGTCTTCCATATCATAAACCAGTTGGTCTCAATAACTCGACTTGTTGGGAGAAGGTTACGCGCTGGATCTTATAACACTCTCTAACACACCTCCTCAAACGAAAACCAATCCATGGGCTTGAAGTTTGCACAAGTTATCGCCATACATTGTGCTTTAAACAACTGTTAATAGTGAGGGTCATGAAGACTCGAACACTACCACTTGACCAAACCAGCTGGTACCAGGTCACAACACTCTCTAACACTCCAAACTACAATGGTTGACAAGCAGATTCTCGTCGTTACATAAACCTAGTAAGTAGTAAGTACTCCGATGCAAGCCTCCTAATAAGTATCCAACCACCATTGAAGAATCTAAAGGCTTGCCTGTGGTTACTTGCGAGCCCTGTTCCTTTCTCCTCTTTTACTGCCTATTTGCGCAGCTGAGCATATATCAGTACTTATTGCCACTAGATCTGCAGGGTAGCCATCTTCAATTCAATGACAACTAAAAAGAACAAATAATGAGTTATCCTTTGGCCAAAGGGCATGCTTTTGTGGCCTGCCTTTAAGCAACAAGCTATAATGCTTTGGATTCTCACAATCATGCCCTACTGGAGCAGCTTCATCATCCCAATCCCATCCATGAAAGGGAAATAGAAATGTGTAAGGACCATTGGTTGGTTTGGTTGGTTGGTACCCCTTTAGCAGCTAGCTAATTGCTAGTGTCCACCAGTCGTACTTTAGAAAGTGCTAGCTGGCAGGTTGTACCCTACCTTTTTCTTATTAATACCCCCACAGAATTGCGGATTTGATCACAGGAAGAAGGGGGGGGAAAAAGAGATGATTGTTGATGATTAAGGAACCGCAATCTAAATACACCGATCGGGATTGCCATTCATAATGTAATTAGTGTTGGACCCAATATTTGATCAACATGGGTTAGTAGGCCAACGGTCAACACAGCCCTAGCGAGCCGAGAAAAGCGACACGGACCATGCCCAAATAGCAAAAAGGGCCAACGAGAAGGGAACGCTAGCAGCCCTAGTCACTCTCGAGTCGCACGAATTGAAACGGATGCCAGACAGGAATAACTAACGGTTATGTCAGCTGGTAGGTGTCAGAGACGCATTTCACCTCTCTTTCTCCCCACAAAGCTACCCGGTACATTGTAGATGCTAACAATTAGGGCATTTTAGGGTTTCTATATTAGTTGTTGAATAAGATTGATTATGCATAGCGATGACAATTACAACCTCATGGGTAATTTTGTCCAAATCCAAGTAGACCTATTCATTATAGGTAGGGTATGGGTGAGGTGTATACATGTTGGGGGTTTGTAGATGGGTTTGGGTTAGGTATGTATTTTTCTTTCATAATCTAAATGGATCTTGTTCGTGCCCGGAACCTCCCTCTTTCCGCCTGGCTTCCCGACCCTCTGGACTTCCTGAAACGAGCGCCCTCCTGCACCCACACAAGTACCTAGCGGACCAACGCGGTCCGTTAGCACTCCGACGCTCAAGTGAGAAGCCTACTTTTAGAGAGAGAAGTGAAGGAACAGTTCTAGTAAGAGAAGCCAAACTGAGTAAATGAGGTTTACCTACTCGACTATTTATACCCGGGGCGAGATCGACCGGTATCCGTCGCTCTCGCCCTGTGTCAGGCCTGCCATAAATGCACCGTACGTTCCCCGCGCATGCGCCTCGACCACCTGACACCGCGGTCAGAGAACCAAGGCGCATGACCTCACCAAGTCAACTCTCCGTACCCTTTCGACCGTTGGCTACTTTTGTCTTGTGCGCCCCTCGCCTGACATCTGGTCCCACTTGTCTCCCATGTCACTCTGGCCACCTGCACCCTTGTCAGGGCGCCCCCTCAGCCCCAAAACCCTTGCCCCCATGGGCTTTCCTGAGCCCCCTTGGCTAGGCCCAAATCTACATCCCACTAACACTCTACTTTGGGCCTTTCTTCCTATGTTGGCCCCTGGCCCATGCTTGTTCCCCCAACAATTGCCCCCCAGTTAGGCGCCTAACACCCAAAGTTAGGGGCCTGACTGTATTCCCCGCCCTTTAGTGCTCGTGCGCCTCCCTCCTGACGCCCATGCGCCTCCTTATCCCCTTGTGCGCCTCTTGCTATCCCGCTGTGCGTCCTTCCCATCTGCCGCTTGCTCCTCTGCTCCTGCCGTGTACTTTCCCTCTCTTCCCCTCGCACATTCATGTACATTTCCTCTTTTTCTTTACTACTATTATTTATTTTCCATTTTATCCCCTATATATATTTTTTTCTTTTCTCTTTCTTTCTTCTCTCTCTTTTTTTTTTCTTTTTCTTTTCTTTCTCGCAACTGTTCATCTTCCGCCTTTCTTTCCGTGCCACTGTGACTCCTGCCATTCCCCTCTCTCCCCCCCTCGATCCGTTCGCGAATCGAAATTTGAATTTCGAAATCGCCAACGGATCGGGGAAGCCTCTTCGCCTTCCCACTCTCTCTCCTTCCTTCGCCCTTGGACCCCCCTATAAAATCCCCTCTCCCCCTCTAGAGCTTCCCACAACTCGCCCACATCCTCTCTCTACTTCCTCTCACTAACCTCCGAATCTCCCCTTGCTCTGCCCCACGCGCCCTCCGCTTGCAATGGCATCCTCCCGTCAGATACCTCTCCCCTCACAGACTCATGCGCCTGTCGCCGAATCAGATGCCCCCACCCCCGATGCTGCTGCGCCTGCCACCAACGCGCCTGCCGGCCATATGCCTGCCGTTGATGCGCCCGCCACCAACGCGCCTCCTGCAACCGCCGAAGGGGACACAACCAACATCCCCGCCGCCCCACGTCGTAAGTATACCCCTATGCGCCTCCTTTTCCTTCCTAGCGTGAACTTCTTTTCGGCTGCTTGTAAGTTTGTGTTACCGCGAACATAGAGTCCCTACGCCTCGTACAAATCCGCCGCCCCTTTTTTTTTTTTTTTTTGCCCCCCTTCTTCACCCTTAGCCTCACCCCTTACCCCTTCCTTTGACTCAGGCGCCTTCATACCCCAAGACTTTGTATTCAGGCCATGGGACTCGATGTGGCCTCCTGGTTATGCGCCCCAAAACACGGCGCTACTCCCTGTGGAGGAGGCTGGTCCTCACCACGCCTCGAAGCAGTTGGGAGTGCGACTAGAAAAACTGGTCGTATGCGCCCAAATGCCTGCGCCTTGGAGGTACATCCATGCGCCCCCCGAGGCTCGTATCGGGTTGTGTGGCGAAGGATGGGTGGGCGTGTACCAGGAGTTCATCCGGTTCGGCCTGCGCTTCCCCATTGACCCAGTGCTTGAGGGCGTCATGGTTGCCTGCGCATGTCCCCTTGCGCGCCTCTCTCCCGCCGTCATCTTGTCCACCATTGTCTTCCGCTACCAATGCCGAAGACATCACGTCCCCC